TAAGTATGTAGTTTACACCAATTCATAAGTTAGGTGTATAGTTTAAAAATTCAAAATTCATGTATATGTATAATTAATTAAAAACATTTATTAAAATAAATATAATAAAGTCACAATTACCATATTCATACTTATATGTCACAATATATTTATTGGTCACATATTATCAAATTAATTAGTCACAAATTAAAAATTTTATATATCATAGTTTATCTATTAATCATAGATATTCAAATTTGTTGATCACACATTATATTTCAATTATAAGTTATCAAATTTTAAAGTCACATTTTAATACTTGGTCACAGATAACTAAATAATTTGTTACATATACCAAATATTGGGTCACATACTGCCACTTGCGACCACCTTCACTCTAAGACCGTTGCTAGCACCACAACACCACCACCACCATCAACATCTCCACCTGCACTACTATGCAAAAACAAACTTGCTATGTGTACAGCAGACTTCATATAGAATTCTACCAGAACACACACATGGGGGGTGTTTTTTGACAATTTTTTTTCACGATAGGTCTCACACATGTAAGTAATCTGACCTAATTCTGTGAAAAAATTGTTGTACAAATGGCTTAAGTGATACAAAAAATGCCACCAGATCCATCATCATAGCCATTACCACCTCTCCATCATCGCCAACAGCTCCACCACCACAAACAGCGACGATGTATGATAGTTTTAAACTGTCGTGCCCCATAAAATCTGTCGTGGCATCCTGCTCCAACCACGCATTAGCTCCACCTCCAATTAACCACCGCCTGCTCACACAACCACACCACAGCTACCACCCCACCAACGAAATCATCAAGTCCACCACCACACAAATACCATCCCATCTCCACCCAAAACACCATCCAACAATTAAAAAAAAAAAAAAGAAAAAAAAAGACATAAATCAAGCAGAGCTGCTCATAGCGCCGCCATCTTTTAGCAGTACCACAGTCGCTACTGCGCAAACCATGGGCTACAGAAAATCGTCGGAGAAAAGCCACAAATCGAAGAAGATTTCGAATCATCTCACTTGCATTTCCGCTCGCAGAGGCTCCAATCTCTTCATTAAGTAGCGTGTTGCTGCTCAAGTGGTAGCGACGGAGCAGTTCTTGCGGCAGGTGCTCCGATGGTGGCGACGACGTCTGACAAAGACATGAGAAGGAGAGGGAGAGTGAGAAAAATTAGGGTTTGTAATTGAACTTGGTGAAAACATTTAATATATAATTATTATGTCAATACCTGATTGTTGAATTATGATCCTTAAATTCATGATATTATGTAATTTCCTCATTTTGAAAAGTTAAAATGAACTTTTGGACCCGTTGGGCCATTTCTATAAAAGTGCTTTTAATAGTTATAAAAGCTTTTTGAGGATATTGGTTCAATATGACTCTATCATAATGTACTCTGAGTGCTTTTTAAAAATTTGTTTTTCAAACAAAAATTAAGTCAACTCTCTCTAAATTTTTTTTTTTATAAAAAGTTAAAGTAAAAATAAAAATCATGTCAAATAAATTTTTAGTCCATGGCCCACAGCAGTGGTGGGGATGCTAAAAGTTTGGCGGTTGGTCATCATTCATCAACCTCAACCATGCACGATACACTATTATTTTTAGCTGGTGACGCGGTTTGACTGGCATCAATCCAGGCTAGCTAGGCATAATAATTAATGCGAGCCCACCTCATGTCACGAGGACGACCATATTTATTTTCCCTCCACCATTTGTCAACTGACACTAAGAAATCGTGCAGGCCAGGAGAGAAATAAATGAAAAGGCAAAAGTGATATAAAATTATAAATGAGGAAGAGACAAATTGACAAGACTGACTTATAATTTTTTTTTTTTTTTAATCCAAATATCCTAGTATATACCAGACTAAATTCTGGACCTTTAAAATCCATGCCCCTAGAACCTTAGAGGGGGTAAATCGCGAAATATGCCTCAATTGGATCACAGATTCCTCCCATTGACTGTACACTTCTGTGTACAAGAGACCCTCCTCTGCAGTGATTGCTTCATACCAAATTTTTTGGCCGCAGATTCCCACAAAGAATCGAACTCTCCACCCTGCCGCTGGAAACAAGTCAATGTTGATTGATTTACCAGTTGAGCTGTACCCCGAGGGACAACTGACTTATAATTTTAATTTTAAAGGAAAGCGTTTCTCCTATTTATAGATTTGACAAATAATCATGACTCTTAGATTGAGCAAATCCAACGGTTAGTATCTCGTGGATCTCAAGTTATTATAACTAACTCTCACATGATCCTAGTGAAATACATACTGATTGTTGGATTTGCTTAATCTAAATGTCACGATTATTTATCAAAAATACTTGTCAAATTCATGTGTAGAAGGAACGTTCCCCAATTTTAAAAACACAACATAATTAATATTCACTTAGCACCTGTTTGGCCCCTATTTTGTGAAAAAATTAATAGGTAGAATAGTATTTTTTCAAAAATAAGGAAAAATCTTCAATTTACATTTAATATTATTTTATGGAAGATTGTGTGGTTAAAAATAGAAAATAGAAAAATTAAATGTAATTGAATGAAAATTAATGAGGGTAAACGGAAGCTTAGTGTGTGTTTGAGCTACATTATTTTGAAAAAAATGTATTTTGAAATAGTAGATTGATGACGAATGTGTGATTATAATAAGAAAAAGTTTTAGATTTGCGTGTAATAGTATTTTATTAAAGAATGTGGGGGTGAAATGATGTCAAATCACTGTTTAAAAATATATTTTTTGAATGAGTAATGCTATTCGTAGTCCCTCACTGCGGTAGTCGCCCTACGTGGCATACACATAGCAGGTGATTATTTGATGCATTAATGTGGTAGTTTTTTTATTCATTAATGTATCAAATAACTACCTGCCATGTGTATGCCATGTAGGACGACTGCCGCAGTGATCGACTGCAAATAACATTATTCTTTTTGAATGCATGTGGCTCAAATTGGATATTAGTATCTATCCATTTCGGGATAATTACCTGATTGGTCACTGAACTTTACGAAAGATGTCTAAGAGGCCATTGAACAAAAGCTTTTCCTTTAGTCATTGAATTTTACAAAATGCAATCACATCCATTACTGAAAACTCCAAAGTTTCCACATTAGTCACTAAACTTTACAAAATGTAATCTCATCCATCATTCATACGTGGGAAGTTTTGAAATTTAGTAACTCCTTGAAAACCTTACACAAAGTTCAGTGCCCAATTAGCCAGTTAACCAATCTTTTATGCTTTTTTTGTCCTTTTCGTTTTCCTTTTTTTTTTTTATTCTCTTTAGGGGGTGTTTGAGAGTGATCTTTCACCCCAAAAAATTTATTTTTTAATCGTTATCTCACTATTCCAACCTTAAAATTTGACTTCTTTTCTCATAGGTGGCCCACACTTTTCTTCTAATGGTCATAAAATCAATTCTCAAAATTGCTACCAAACGGAACCTTAAAAAAGAGAATAACCTTTTATCTCAGGAATAATTAAAAAGGTTGTATAAAATCAAAGAGCCAACAAAGGATAATTCTATGGACAGCTTCAGCTTTGATTGTCCTTCTATTAGGACACAGAGAATAAAAATCAGAAATTTATTTGATTTTTAGCTGAAAATGTGTGTGAATTTCAAAATTAAATACTATTAAGTTATCAATGTTAAAGGGGTTCTCTTCCAAAATAGGTCACTGCATGAACTTTTGTTGTCACTTTGATCTAAGAGAGGTCAATAGACAATCTTGTCGGTTACTGGATAAAAGGCTATTCTTTTTTCTAAGGTTGACGATGTTAGAGAGAATAAAATTGTGAGGGTAGGAGTACAGAAAAAATAAATATTGATAAATTACATGTTTAGTCACTGAACATTGCGTAAGATTTTCAAAAGGTCATTGAACTTCAAAAATTTTCACGTTAATGACCGAAATATACAAAGTATAATCTTATCCATTACCGAAATTTCAAAACTTTCCCCCGTTAATCACTAAACTTAATGGATGTGAATATATTTTATAAAATTCAGTGCCTAACGGAAACTTTTGAAGTTTAGTTGCCCCTAAAAATCGTACGCAAAATTCAGTGATCAATCTGGTAATTATCCCACATATTTCATATGTCTCATTATTATAATCTTCTGTTAAGAAAATTATAATGAAACCCAACAGACTCATTTAACGACTCCTTTACCGCACGCTATGATCTACTTTAATTGGAAAAACAAGTCAACAAATTCACTTTTTTAAGAATGACCAATATCGCTTAATTTACGGTAACAAATATTTTATCGGTTTGTGCAATTACATAATTAAAGGTCTTTGGGCAGTATCATGTCAAATTTTTAGTCGACCAACATAAAGGGTCCCCAGTGTGGACTAAAGACACCTTTCATATAATCCCACTGCCACTAGGTCAAAATAAGAATTTCATTTTCTATACCTTTTGCTTCAAAATCATTTTGAATGTTACATCTGATCCATGAGTGTATAATAGAATTGCAAAAATTATAGGCTATATAATGAAATTACTTCGACTTGAATCTTTAACTTCGTTGATGGAATTCGGTGGTGTTAGCCTTCTTCTACGACGTTGTTACAAGACAGATATTGACTCTTTCTCTCCCGTATAACTTTTAACGTGAGAGTAAGTATACGATATATTGGAAGGATAATTTAAGAAATTTTCTATAATATTTGAAAATTTTTAAAAATATTATCTCCTTAATTCAACATAATATCAGTATCCATCATAACTTTCAACTACGCGTACTAATAGACCTACATGCTATAAATATTATTCATTTATTCACAACTTATTTTATCTACTTATAAATTGAATCATTTGTAAATTCTTTCCAAACAGAAGTGGCTAAGATCAACGAAAAATGGCATTACCTTTCACAGTCCGGTCAAATTTGCGGGCACGACAAAGAAAGACAGATCCCCATTTTTAACAACACATAGAAAGTTGAGAATTCCACTAAATTTTGCTTGACATCATGATTTAGACCTCTTCTGGGCTTCCTTAACCTTTTTTAAACGTAAATCCACAGAAAAAGTGGATGAGAAAGACACTATTTTTGTACTCTTAGTGTTGACAGAGATTAATATATTACACAAATCAGGTACCTTTCTGCTTCCTCCGCCTCCCTCTTGATAATGCCTGAGCTGGCATTTTTAGATTTGAGATCGGGCTTCAGGACCCGAGATATGAGCCCGGATTCTGTAATTTTCACTGGTGAATCAAACTTCAGCATCTTCTCCTCTGCTTCTGCTAGTGTGGATCGCTGCTCTTTTGCCTCTGATTTACACGATCAAGATTCTCTAGCTTCTGAAGTTTCTCAAGTAATACTATTTACTTCCAATTCTTTCTCTGCAAACGTATTTTCTTGGTATACGTTTATGTGTGTTTTTTTCTATATTCTGATGGGTTTGACTCAAGCATTGAATAAATTCTGATGACGTAGTGAAGTTTAGAACTTGAAAAATGTCTAGTTCGATGGAGTTGTAAAGTTGAATTCTTTGATTTGAAACAGCATTTGGCAGGGCGTGATTTTTCTGAGTCATCTAGTGGTCCAGATCCAGATCCAAACAAATTAACACTAGCGCTAAAAAATAATGATAACCTCAGCAGAAAGCCAAAAGCTAAAGGTACTGGTCAATCACTGTTGAAGTTTAGGACTCTAGATCAGCCGGCTATTGTCCTTATTGTTTGAAATTTTGAGTCATGTGACTTACTGTTATCCCTCAATTTTGGTTTGTACTTAGTTCACAAATTAGAGAGCAGAGAAGCTGAGACGATAGAGGATGAAAATCTAACCATAGATTCTGCAAGAAATTCATTCTCTCTAGCACTTAAAGGTACCATTTTTAATGCCATTGCACATTTCAAGACGACCTGGTTTTATTTGATTATTATGTGATTTTCTTGGTGGGTTATTTGATTAGAGTGTAAAGACCGGAGGTCAAGATCTGAAGCATTATTGAAGAAAGCAGACAGGCGAAGACCTGCTTCTTTAGATCTGAACAATTCTACGATCAATGTTGCAAATTCCTCTTCACCGCGATATGGAGTCATGAAGAAACCATCTGTCACGACTAGCAGGACCGGTACATTTCCGAGTCCTGGAACGCCTAATTATCGACACGTGAGTGTTGGGATGCAGAAGGGTTGGAGTTCTGAACGCGTTCCATTGCATACGAATGCTAATAAGAGGCATGTGAATACTGTATTCTTGCCTTATAATAGTGGTAGAACATTACCCTCCAAATGGGAAGATGCAGAAAGGTGGATTTTTAGTCCAATGACTGGAGATGGTGCTGGGAAACCATCAGTTCAGCAGCCACAGAGGCGTCCCAAATCAAAAAGTGGGCCGCTTGGGCCTCCTGGGGTTGCTTACTATCAATTATTTTCTCCCATTGCACCCACGATTGAAGGAGGGCATGCTCAGAAATTAGTTGCAGATTCTCCATTCTCAGCTGGAATGATTGCTGCAGATGGTTTATCAATTCAATATGGAGGAAGTGGAAACTTCCCCATAGGTACAGAGCCTTCCATGGCGAGGTCAATTAGCATACATGGATGCTCTGAAATGTTGAGCCAATCAATGTTTCCTAGCCACCAAGGTACAATTTCACTTCCCTGTTATTGCTCTCCAAATGTTTATGTTAATATTGATATGACTCGGTATCATTTCTTTTATATATGTATCCTAACCTCTTGTTTGGTGTCATCATGCCCAACGCTGCCTTTCAAGGACAAAACTACCGAAATTGCATGAATCACAACGGTAATGCTTAATTTATTATAAGATTGACAATGACATATCACAATATATGATTGCTGTTCAGGCGTTTTTTTTTTCGGGGGTGGGCTGCAGAAAGCAAAAGCTGAGGCTGCTATAAGGAAGCTAGAGGTACTTCCTCACTCCTCCTTTTCGGTTTTAAGAAAATAGGAACCATGCAGATTTTTGTTCTCACTACTCATTCTAATATAAATTCTTGTGTATTCTATGAAATATCAACAAAGATATAGTTAAAGGGCTAGGAAATAAGGAAAGAATGTAATAATTTGGTCTTTCTGCTTGGTGCACTATAAAGATATAGCTATTTAAGTTTGTTCTTTTTCTAAGATTGATGGGCTTTCTGCTTGGTGCACTATACGACAATAATGTAATGATTTGATTCATTCATCTAAAACATCTGATTCAGATGAAATTGGAAAAGAAGAGATCATCGTCCATGGACAAAATTATGAACAAACTGAGATCCGCACAAAAGAAGGCCCAAGAAATGAGAAGCTCAGCATTGGCCAACCAGGCCAACCCAGTTGCAAAAACTTCCAGTAAAGCCATATCCTTCCGAAGAACTCGTCCCGTAGGCTCATTGAGTGGTTGCTTTACCTGTCATGTATTTTAGCGCAGCATGCAGCGATCTTTGCTTCGGCTAAAACGAGCTTCAAATGTCAGGTATCTTTTGACCTGCAATATATCCCCCACACACCCACCCATCCCCACAACCCAAATATAAGATATTTCACTACATCTGATTATATCATCACATTGTGAAAGACGAAAAGAAAAGATAAAGAGAAATCTGGTAAAAGTTGGGGTACTTCTGATTCGTCAAATTCCATTTCAATCAATGTTTTCTACGACAGGAAATTTCACTGGAGCAGTGATACATGCTGTTTGTTAAGCGAGTATGGCAGTGTAATGTCTCTGAAAAAGCTGTTTGTTCAATACACTAGTGCAAGTTTAAACTTTACCCAGATTGGTTTCTGTATCCATCCAGGCAGAAATGAGGTAAGGATCAGATGAAAGTGTGAGAGGTGTGCAATACCATATATTGAGACTCTGAATGGAGTTGATTAAGCCAGGGTGAAAATCTTCAGTATTTTGTGAGATTTAGGTATCATAATCATTGGAATCCTCTGTTCTTAATGCTTTGGGTAGTGATGTTTGTATCGATGTAAGTATGTTTATTGCATTGACTTTCATTTGGAGAAAAAAGACCATTTACTAGTATCATCACGTGGATTATCCAGCTAGTTTATCTACCTCAACGCCTTTCCTCTTCTTAATGGAAATGTATTTGTGAATTGGGGCGGTTTCAAGTGATTTGTCATGTTATTCCAATGCTATTTCCTTGTAAGATCCATAATAATGTTGATCTTGTTGATTTATTAAGAATAGCTCAATCCCTTATATCTTGCTCTATGTTTTGGTATTTAACCGATGATGTAGAATTTACTTCTTATGCCCTCGCAAGATAATGGTTCGTTTGAGCATATCAATCTTTAAATTTGCGTGCTTATTTTTCAGTCTTAATCGGATTGAGTTGTTCTTTGAAACTTAATGGGTTTCGATACCATATTAAAATTTGGAGTTTCTTGGAAATGTATTTGTGAATTGGGGCGGTTTCAGGTGATTTGTCATGTTATTCCAATGCTATTTCCTTGTAAGATCCATAATAATGTTGATCTTGTTGATTTATTAAGAATAGCTCAATCCCTTATATCTTGCTCTATGTTTCGGTATTTAACCGATGATGTAGAATTTACTTCTTATGCCCTCGCAAGATAATGGTTCGTTTGAGCATATCAATCTTTAAATTCGCGTGCTTATTTTTCAGTCTTAATCGGATTGAGTTGTTCTTTGAAACTTAATGGGTTTCGATACCATATTAAAATTTGGAGTTTCATCTTAAAATGTCAGTTTTGTTAAGAAGATTAGTTCAAATCTTTATAAGTTAGTTTATGTTATCATCTTTATTCGATGTAGGATTTATCTCTTATCATAGTAATGGTATAGTATGTGAACACATTGCTTTTGCAGAACTAAATGTTTATATATTGAACCTTGCTATATGTACCATAGGGTGTACACTTTAGTTTACACTTTATCACATGACATTATCCTATTGAACAGTTTAAATATTAAACAGATTTTCCATCTAATTGACACTTGACAACAATGCAAGTGTCAACCGCAGTGTCAAAAATTAATGTACAAATAGCAAAATTCTTAAATATTTAAGATTCTCGGTAAGAAACCTTTAATGTAATTTTTGTTCCAGTAGACAATCTATGGTTCACGAAACTGAATGTTTACAATGAAGTGCTATCATTGATTTGTTATCTTCAGTTAGTGCTATCTTTGACAATTTAGTAAGGCGGTACACCATGAATCAGAAACCTTTAACATTAATGCCCATTATTATTTTGATGGGCCAAAGAGAGATTGTGATTTGCGAAGCCTATATCTCTCAACATAGTTTAAGTCATATATATTTAGCTTGTGACTTGCATTTTATTTTGTGCGCGTATTTGTGTTGAATTATGTGAATGTGTCACTCTTTCTTGTTTTGATGAAAATAAATTGACCTCATTATATATTTCAATTCCTATCAAATGGAGGTGGAGTGTTTATACTAAAATTTTGTTACATTTGATACCTAGGAAAATTTTACTTGTACATAATTATTGCACATAATTGGGTCTATAATGTGATGTGACAATCATCTGGTTGTTGATGTACAAGTGTGAGATTTGAATTAAAGGTTGAATCTAGTGCCATGTGTAATTATGGACACCATTATGTAGACAATTATGTACGTGTAGCACTTTTCTTAATACATATGCTTTAGTTTGATCTCAAATAAAATAATTTCGTCCAATGTCGGCATCAACTAACATTTGTGTCGATGATTTTAAGATTAAATTAAGTGTAATTAACCGATTGAAACAAATTAAGTATATTTACCTTATTTAAACAAATTTAGTATAGTTACATGATTGAATTTACCCTGTTAGTAAACTTTCGTACTATTTTGTAAGTTTTGATATATTTTTGCACTTTTCTTTTGTACATGTTGATTTCCTAACTCATGAGCACTTAGGGGCGCATTTCGAAGAATGATTGAAAGGAGCTTAATTGTGAAAACCCCCAAGTCACAACAAGAGGTCAGACCAATGACCCATCTATTGAGCTCGACCATGAGACCACCAAACCAGAAAACAATATTAAGACCAAGTTAAAAAGCTTTGCCCAAGTGATGTCGACACTCCCATAACAACCAATTAACAAAAGACAGGTGTTACTTTTGAAGTCAACCACACGTTCCACCAATCAAAAGAAATAATGACTGCATAAGCTATTGTAGGTAATCATGACTAGGTAATGGGCCACGTCCTAGTTCAAGGGCAGATTTAGGGACGAGCCGGGCTATGTTAGAGCTTGTCCCTCCAGCTCTAATGCTAATTAAAAAGAAAGATTTAAGTAAAAAAAAAAGGCGTGTCAGCCCATATCCCGAATTACTATCCTAGTTAAAATGATAACTTGACTAACTGAAGTCAATAGTCCATTAAATATCTTCAAGCGAGCAGTGGCACACGAATCGAAGTTACATATTGTAGCTTGAAAAGATAGAGGACATCAAGCTCCCCCGTTGAAAATGTTTATAAATAGGGGCAGTAGTCCCGGTTGAACTGAGCAATTTTTTAAAATACACTACAACAAACACTTTCCAATAGTCTTCCTCTCATTTAGGCTCCTATTCGTGTAGCTCAGTTGTAAATTTATTATATTTCATGTATTTACCCGATTAAATTGAACGTCAAAATCAGCTATTTTTATTTGTTCAAGTGATAAAATTGGATGAAATTATTTTAATCGAGATTAAATTAAATTAAAATATAGTTATTTGTTTATATTAAATTGAATTATAATTATTTAATTAACATTTGAGCCGTTGAATTTTACCCAATAATTAATATATGTAGAGATGATCTGAATGAAATGAATGCGATGCGAGTTGACTGTGAATTTTACAAAAGTAAGGTTGGTAGGCCAATTGAATTAGGACATTTCGTTTATGAATGCGGGCCCCACCCCCACCACCATTGAAATTCTGATGTTTCCAGAAACAGCATGTGGACAAGGTTTCCATTACAATTTTATATTTGGTTACGAATTCAATCCACCTAGCACAAGGGACAACTGAAAGACCAAACAATTTAGGGTTTGGGTAAATTTGTCTTTTTCCTCAATGCCCAAAAAACAATATGAATAAAAATTAAAAATCAATCAATCAACCAACCAATTTAATTTTGTATTTTCTTCTCTTTTTAATTTCGTGACTGAATTGTATGAATATGGGTTCAAGCTAAAATGATTATTCTATTACTAGAAGTGCAACAATTCCTTTATTATTATTATTTTCTATTTTCAACGATCCATAATGAATAAAGTACAATGTAAATTAAGAAGGGTTATACGCTTCATCATTAATGCCTAACTCTTTCACTATGTCAAGGACTGGACAGTGCCACCTTTGAGAACAAACCACATATAAATCTAACCATCGCAATTAATTGGGGTCCACACTTTTTGCTCGACTACAACTAGGGATTCATCTTCTGTATTCCCTTTTTGGGGCCTAGGTGTGGTATCACGAGTGCGGAGTTCTATTTTCATTCAAAAGGTTATCCTTATTAGGAGCAGCTTTGAAATTATTAATTTATGTGTAGCTGATGTAAAAATTTTTACGCACTTTCTCAATGATCAATCATACATCACAAGCCATAATTCTTGCTTCTTTTATTACATAAGATAATATACATAGCTGTGATAATCCATAATTCAATATCAAATGCATATATCTTCATCAAAATATTATCCAATAAACAAGAAGAAAAAAGGGAGATTTATCCATAGGGATGATGGATAAGTAAAGCAAGTAACTTAGAAGGATTCAATGTACTTAGAAAAGAAGGGCACACACCCAATTTAAATAGAAAAGGACAGGATAGTATCCCTATCACCTTGAATATATAGAATAAAATGTTGGGACTTTATTTGATTTCTCACATGGGTTTTCTCCTAAATGGTTTGACCACTTCTGATTTTATTTAAATATCTTAGTCCAACGTTCCTAGATTTGATTGGATTGAGATTTGAATGGCAAGAATAAATGGCTTTTAGTGAAGCATGATCCTTCACTCACAAACACGATCTCGCCCTAGGAAGCAGCAACTTACACCATATTAACTAGATTAACAATTATTTATTATTTATATTTTTTATTTCACATGTCCCATTTTCAAGTCGAAAATGTTATCGCGTACGCTTTCATATTATTTTTGAGGAGTGAACTCAAAAATTTTCACTAGTAACGAGGTCATTCGTAGTTTATAAAAGATAACAAAGTTTGTAACTTACGGAATGAAAACTATAATAAATGAATATTCACAACACTCTCCATTAAATGTCTATTTCATCATAATAAAAAAATATTTCTTGTTAAAATCTATTAGAAAAAATCTTAGTGAAGCAAATACATTACATAATTCTTATAATATAAACAACTTAAATCAAAATTCATGTAAAAAATATTAAAACAATGCTGCCTCTAAGCATTTGAATATTTGGCAAATCACATTGTACGACTTGTGTTCGCATGGATCATTGATTGCTAGAGCATATTGAGCTTGAAATAAGTATGTTTTGACATTGAACTGCATTGTGCACATGGGGTTGGCTTTAGGATGTGACTAAGTGACAATGTATTGCTTACAAGTTACAGTTGTAATCGTTGTACTGCAAACTCCAACAACATCCTTGAAATCTCTAAATATTGATACGATCCGTCCTAAATCATCCTGATGGACCAAACACGTGTCATGCACCGATGATAGATACTAACTAAGTGCTAGACTCACCATTAAGGCAATCTTGACCTATTTTGACAATGACGAATTTTTAAAAGAATTTTGACAGAATTTTTTTTTTTTTTGAAATATAGACTAAAACCACTTGAACAATATTCAATTTTTCCAACTTTGTACATATAATTTAAAATGGGATACACCAACTCCTTCAAATACAAACTATTTAAAATAAAATGCACAAGAATGAAATTTACACTTCTTCAGAAGCCAATAGACTCTAAATGCTCAACATATTCAAAAGATACCAAATATGTAGTGAGTCCATGATATGGATACATTTTCTGATGAACAATTTTTCTTAAACATTGATATCGTCTCCCTTGTTCAGGTCATGTTGTCATGACAGAGTGAAGATGTTATTTATTTATTTATATATATATTTGTTCACTCTCATTTGTTGAATTATCCTTGAGTTGAGCTAAGCCTGGATCAAATTTTTGACTTGCCTTATGAATTTAATGTAGTTCAGTTGAGCATTGTTT